ATGTGTGTGTGTGTGTGTGTGTGTGTGTGTGTGTGTGTGTGTGTGTGTGTGGTTTCATTCCATCACAGGGGCTTCCAGGAGACTGTAGACTCCAGAGAATTGTACTCTTCCCTAAAAGGCATTCAGCCTCCTGGACACGTGAAGCATTTAGAAGTTCTAGGGCTGGGCTTCAAAACAAATTAGCAGTGTGACAGGTCAAGACTTGCCTGCTGAGAGGCTGGGAAAGTCTTTCTACCCATCCCTGCCCCTAGGTGTCGATCCTGAGCTGGGCAAGGGGTGGGGGTTGAATCGCAATGCCTCCCCTCACCCTGCCACTGAAGCCTGAACTGGTTCCCAATTGTCCCTCGCGTTCCTCCCGCAACCCAGCTTGCTGCCGCTCACGTTCACACTTCTAGGCTTTCATCCTGGGGCTGTTGGCTTAGCCAGAGCAAACAGAGACAGCACTAAAATCAACAGAACAAGAAAAGAAATGACCCAGGTGACATGCAAAAGAAAACGTCGGTGCCACAGTGAGAGGTGTGTGGGCTGGACTGATGGAGCCATGTGTCTCCTCGGGGCTGGAGACCCAGAGGTGGGCTTTGGGGCTGAGCTTCCAGAGTCAGTGCAGACCATAGGGGGAGTTCATTCATGCTAGCTTTACCCAGGAGGATATGGGTGAGAGGGTTGTACCCCTTACCACTCCCAGGAGAGTCTCAGAACCTGCAGAGAGTGAGTGAGAGGCTTTACTGGGGCTGGGGCTGGGCTGGTGGGAGCCAATAGTCTGTGAAGAGCACCTGGCTTTCTGCTAAGCCCCTGCTAATTGCCAATTCCCTCCCCTTCCCCTTGCACACCACCCCCCCGCTCTCCTACACCAGGTCTTGGAGCCAGGAATTCCTAGAGATGTTGGTTTCACCACTTGGCTCCTCCAGGCAGATGTTCCCTCTGGACAAACTATTTCTCTCTCTTTCAGGGCAGAGGGGCTCCGTTTGCTCAGCACTCTTAGACGCACTGGCTGTGGTTCTAGGGAGGAGGAACCATTTGGGACTTATTTCTGCCTCCCTCCAAACCCCACCCTTCCAGGCAATGGGATCAGATAGCCTGGTGTCCATAGGAGCAGCCTGGTTGGATCCCCTTCGAGACTCAATGAGGGATCCTGTGGAGGGAGCTTAGTGATTGCAATGACCCCTGACCCAAAGAGTCACCAGGGGTTCAGGTTCAGAGCACTAAGAGTTCAGGCAACAAAGGTCAAGGCTAGGAGACCAGACCCACCCAGCTGCAGAGCTCAGGGAAAGACGCTGGGCATGGGTCTTGCTACCTGTGGAATGAGCACCTTATACTCTACTCCAAACCATCTAACTTGATCCTATCATCAGGCAAGGAAGAGAAGGAGATGGACAGCAGACCCCCCCCCTCTTCAAATAAGTGCCAATCTACCACTTAGAAATTTCCAAGCACTTGCCACACCCTTTGCCAAGGAAATCCATTGTGTTTCTTCTTCTGCAGAGGAAGAACCCAGCAAACTGTCTTGTCTAAAGTCATCAGCACCAACTGAGAAGCTGAGCTGAGCTGGACTCACAGGTCACCTGTCTATAAAACCTGAGCATTGAGCAGTTCACCACCCAGACGGGGGAACCCCCCTGAATAAGGAAACATCAAGCCAGCCCCAAACTTGGGCTTCTGGCCAGGAGGTCTCTGGGTTTTTCCATTGTTCTTCCTGCCATGACTTTCAGCATTTTTTTGGGGGTGAGGTGGGGGTGGTTAGGGGTTGGTGGTTCTGGAGACGGACATCAGGACTAGCACATGCTCGGTAAGGAAGCCCGCTATCACTGAACTACACCCTCTCTTCATTCTTCTTGTATTCTTCATCCTGACTCCTATCCCTCTTCCAATTGGCATAGTGCCTGAGTCTTGGACTTTTTCTCTCCTGTGGGTTAAGAAATTGCTGCTTGTTGGGGCTGGGAAGGTGGCTCAGTGGTAGAGAGCTTGCCTTGCATGCATGCCCTGGGTTCGATTCCTCAGCACCACATAAGCAAAAAGAAAAAAGCCAGAAGTGGCACTGTAGCTCAAGTGGTAGAGTGCTGGCCTTGA